TACAACAGAGAAATAACTTTCTATTCTATTGAGTTTATAAATACAGAAAGCTAAGCCGCTTTCGGAAAAAAGGCCGCAAATAAAAAAAAATCGATGCATAATATGAAACATAGATATTAAAATATTTTTTCTTTACAGTTAGAATAAAATAAAATTAAGAAAAAAATACAAAAATAAAAGCTAATATTTTGAACACTAAAAAAATAAAAAATTGGAAAATAGCGGAATTTAAAAATTGCTTTTCAAGATAACTTATGTAAAGTCATGTTACTATCATAATGGAATCTGTACATTTATTCAATTTTCTTGTTTATTTAACTGGTATGCGAGTACGGTTAATTTTAACGGCACACTGTTAAATGAATATACTGTCATGTCGTCCCGGGGAACGGATTGTCTAAACATAAGAGACTACATATAAATATGATATATTAAAAATAAGTGACATTTTAATGACTTTAATATAATAAAGAATAAAACTTTTTTTAATTTATCTTAAAGCAAAGATACGTCAACCTTTTATACCGTTACTCTAGGGCATGGCGCGGATTTTTGACCAATCAACGACGGTCAAAGAGTTAAAACACTTGTTAAATAGTGTCTTACTTTAATTTTGGCGTAATACCTATTAATTTAGACCGTATTAAATTATGAGAACTATTTAAATATTAACTTTATCAAAATATGCTAATTAATTAAACGACTAACACATAATTGTTATAGATTAAATCTAATGTCAAAATATGTTACAAATACCATAAACTATATAAAGATTCTCGGCAATTTTCACTTCTAAAATAGACGATAGTAATGTAATCTTAATATTTTATGATGAAGATCTACTTTTACCGCAAAAACCACTTAATTTTTATGAGTTCCGCACACTTTTCGTGTATTTTAGCAGTTTCCGGGGTTATGTAATAAAACATCAATAGAAATAAATATTATTCATAAGATGTGCAGGTTTTTTTTTTTATACGAAATACGTAATATTTATAACATAGAAACTATAGAAAATAAGTTTAAAATATGTAGAAAATTGAAGAATTTTAGTTGAGGTTGTAACTTGTTTTTTTAATATATGTTTATCCGGCATAATAAATGTTTGTTGGTCTAAAATAGGTTATATTTTTTCCATCAATAGAATATCTTAGATTAGAGCAATTATAAGTCGAATATTGTTACTTTCTGTCGCGTCTGTATTAGAATTAAATATTAATTCCAATTAAATATTGAAAATGTAAGATATTCTATATATATTAATCTGTTTATGTTAATTATATTAAAAATTATCTTTTATTTTTATGCTGAGAATTACCATAAATGAGATTAGTGTTTAACATAAATTAACATGTAAATTATTTTATTGCTGTTCAAATATATTTAATTTAGCTAATGACTTAATTTCGTCTATTTATTTATTCTTTGGTCAACGATATTGTTAATCGAAGCTTTTATTAATTTTGTTCAAATACCAAGTTTGTAATTTGCTGTACGCAAATCGCAAACACAGAGCACTGACCTTTTAAAATAATATTTTATGTTAAACAGGTGGCTAAAAAGAATTGGCTGAATGTTTTTAAAACAAAATATTAAAAAAAAACACCAAAAACGTAAGTTTCTTATTGACAACGCAAGCTATTGAGATGCAAAATATTACTTTTTGTTTGTTAAAAATATATCCCACTTTGTAAAGCAAGAAAGTTTATTAGATTATTTATTTAATTTTACATGGACTGTATATACACTAAAAGTTGCAAAATTAACTTACGTAGGTTAGCGAATAAACGAGAATGTCAGCTCTTTTCACAGAACGATATAAATATATCCTTAAATTAAATGATGCAGTAATTTTTGTGGCCACTTTTGTATCTGTTCTAACTTAACGGCACTAACATCTGTCAAACTTTCATCTAACATTTAAAGAGTGATGCATCAAAAATATTGTGGAATCCGTGCAAACACTACAGTGAACATCACTTAAATACGTTTTAACCTCAAAAACATCGACACAGTTTTTGCGTTCTTTATTAATTTAGACGTCTTCACATTAATCGTCGTCTAGACGTGTTACAGTTAAAAGTTTAGATTATCCATTGTTAGATTCTCGCATAGTAAAATTTATGTTCGTATTTTATATCTTAGAAAAATGACAACCACTAGCTTTAGCCGTAAGACGCATGATTGGCCGACTAATTAGTTTTCACTACCAATTGCAACGAAAAAATAAAAAAACAAAGATAATAACAATATGTTTTTGTACAAATCATTTGGTAATAGAATAGGAAGATATCAAATCATTGTTGGACATATCACACACCTTCACCTAAGCATGTACCATTCAAAGAATAAGAAAATATGAACATACAACATATAAATTATGTCGCAACAAAAATCTTTCCACTGCCACCTTTAGCTGGAAATGAAACGTCGTAAAAACAAGTCCCCGGTTGTCTCGACGACAGCGCTGGGTAGTGAGAAAGTATCGTACGCCAGATATCAATGTTTTGCACTAAACTGCGCACTTAATTGCGAAGATAACCGCATACGTACCTGAGAATATGCATCGATGTTATACGACATTATACGTTCCTTAAATATGTTTTAATAACCAGGCAACATTGTTAATTACTGTTGCGTTTTGTTTATTTTTTTTTAACATTATAGATTTTTTTTAAAGATAATAGCTTGTATCAAACGTGATAAATTTTTATTCTTACAAAACGTAAATAATTTGTCGACATTACCTTGGTTTTCCACTACCGAAAAAGTAATAAAAAAAACATAGTGTCATCGCTCTCATTATTTTTGGAAAAGATTGACAACATTATATTTTTATTTATTTATTTGAGTATGTCAGAGATAGAAACTACGGTACTATAAAATGTCATGTCCATAGCACAACCTTTCCATTTTTCTCGTAAAATAGGGAAATTAATCTTTTTCTCGGAAATACAACTTCAGTTGGTTATTGGTGTCCTACATAATGCACTTTTAATCAAACTTACTCCGTTACTTTAAAAGCGAGGCTTAAAGGACAAGTTCTGTCTCATGTCAACCTTTTTTCTGTGGGTTGTCATTACCGAAATTCTTTATACAAGAGACAAATATATATTTTAAACACTAGAAGGAATTTTACGGTTATTAAAGTAAAATAGTTTTTAAATACATTTCTTTTTCACGTGTAATAAATTATAGAACGTACGTTATTTGAAAAGAGATTATTTAAATTAAAAAGATTTTTACTTAATAGAGAAAGTATACTGTAATATTGCACTTGTCCTGCAGTTTTTTTTTTGCTTAAACATTTGTATCTCTCTGTCTTTCAAAGCAGTAGCAACTCACAAAACATACGAGAAATCAGATAAAAATTATGATAATTCTAAACAGAAAACAGACGCTTCAAAAACATAAAAATAAAGTTATGGCCTTTTTATGGCGTCAGTGACCATAACATCTGACAATTTTGGCAAAAATTTAAACGAGTATTTTGTATATCAAGATTAACAACATTCGTTATTCAATTTAAATGAATTTCAAGGAATTATTTCTCTAAAAACTTTCGTCCTATTACATTAACATTGTGAATGGAATTATAAATGTAAGCTGACCCCCGCGACTCCTTCCACGCGAGATTTAAAAAAACTTAGTAACCTATGTGTTCTTCCAGACTACGTTCTACATCTATGTCAAATTTCAGCGAGATCTATGTAGCCGTTCTTGAGATACCTTCTAACATCCATCCATCCATCTAAACATTCGCTTTTATATTATTAGTAATATTTTGTTCTTGTAGGTATTATTTAACAGTGGTAGAGCCCGCTTTAACATCTTCGCACGAATCGGCCCGGCTCGCCCGGTGAAATACCACGACCACACAGAAGACAGGCGTGAAGTGGAAGCAATTCCGCGTTTCGTCTGATGAGTGTGCGTCCCGCAGGCCAATATTAGTCTTCTTTCCCTTCCCACCCTTTTTCTTATAAGGAAAGGATGGGAAGTGGAAGTGGACTTTCCGGATGAGAGGATGCATGGAAAGGGAAAATATTTTCTTTCTGTCCATCCTCTCCTCCGTCGATTAAAGGTAGGAAACGCATATGTAATTGCGTATGTCTATGGGCAACGGTCGCTTCGCTATTTCAGCGATTTCAGGTGACCGCTCGCTCGTTTGCCACCTTATGATATAAAAAAAAATAATGTATTGGTAAACCATGATAAGTAAATATTTGATGAAGACGATGTCTCATGAGTAGCAGTTTATAATTTACAAAACGTAATACACCGTCGCATTCCTGTCTTTTGCGCGCTATTACAGATGGATTATAAACGGCAGGTAGATACGATCCTGCGCCCCACCATTATGGATTCTTCACACCGCCACAAAAAGCCAGATACATCGCAGTCGCTCGCAAATATAACATCGCTTTTTGTATTCAAAACACGAACCCAATGAGGTACCCTACCCATTACTCGGAATTCTTACAAACTCACTTACGATGGTATTTCTTCATTCTATGTTTGTTATTCTTAACAAATATCAAAATTCCAGTAGCATAATCCAAGGTGGCTTAAATTAATATCTACTATTCAAGTGGGTATTCTATAAATAAATTAATTAATTAATTACCCAAGTATTTGTAACATTACAGATGCAAAAAGCTATGTATCCTAGAAGATAACATGATTTTTTTTCAATAAAGAAAGGTAAAGAATGTCGACAAATTGACATTGGTGTATTTTTAAGTTATCTAACAAAGTATTAACTTCCATAAAACTACATTAAAAACATTTTATGTTAATTATCTCGATGTACAGGGAAGTAATTTTGTCCAAGAACTTTTTTGCCTATCTTCAATTCTCTGACTTTTCGCACACGTTTGAATGAAGGTATGTCCAATTAGCGATACTGTTAATTCGTGTCTACAAGCAATTAAGATGAGATTACACAGAAACAATGCATTTTAATGTTAGAAACACGAAACCACAAAAGCTTGCAAACTTACAATAAGCTCCGGTGCTATAACTCCCACAACACATTGAATTATCCATTCCGTAAAAAGCGGCCTTATAACACTGTTTATTTATATTAAGACACACTTCGCAATACTATACGATTTTCACTTCACTTAATTAGATTCAAAAGTCGCACTATCGTTAGAGCTTAACTTGTTTCGTATTGTGAAAAATCACCGCGATATTTACATGTACACTAACAAGCAATGCCGTCTGATTTACACAGAGTATACGTAACGACTGGCGCTTGCGTTGGCGGGATGGCGGGCGACCGGTGGTAGCTTACTTAGCTTACCGGCGTCTGCGCAGCCTTCGCGGTGGAAAGTTCATCGAACGTTGCGCCAGTGTCTATCGCAAATATCATTCTTATAATAACTGTGAGTACAATTTCACAGTAACATTCTGTGATTTATAAAATGTACCTACTACCTAAGTACGCCCAAAATAAGTTTTGTATTTATCTCACTTTTACTTTGATTCTACTTAATGTTCTAATTAAATTCATTCATGGCATATGCTATATCGATAGTGTAAATCAAAATGAAAAATCGCACCATTCTCCACTCGCCAACGACCACAAAGTATTCAAATGCAAATGCATGCTGTGCAATTTGCAGAAAAATGAAGTATGAATACAAAGTATTAATTACGAAGAAAGTACTGTTTTTTGATCACTGATAAGAGACATTTTCTTTTAAAAGACGTTCGTTAAATTATCTCGAAATAAAATAATATTTAAAATAAGATGTACACCGCATATGTGTTTATTATGCTTGAATTTATTTAATAAGTTTAATACATTTTACACAATTTTTAAGTTGGAGTTAAGCGCTGTGAATTTTAAAATTATTTTATTTTGTGCAATAAATGATAATTAAGCAATTGTAAAGTTTTAACAAATTTGGATTTATGTTTTGTAACTTGTGCCTAATAATACTTCTTGAGTCTTTAGCGTTGACCTCCAAACATGGATTGGTGAAAAGCCCTGGAATATTGTGCTTATTTGAATCTCGCCATTTTTACGCTGACCGCAACGTTTGATTGCGGTGGTGAGGATTCGAACTAATAACAGAGATTTTATAAACTGTAAGTAACATGAACAAGCGCGTTTGAATCGGAACGAAACGAAAACTTTCAGTTCCGAACTACCGATATTATCGAAGAGTAAATGTGTTCTGTAGTTTATATAACCTATCCATAAAACAGAGAATCCCTGAGACTTGATCATTTTTGACGTCTGTCAAAAAATTACACGAAGTGAATAATCGTGACTTTCAGTTTTGAAATATTAGGAGCCGGTGTTTGTTTTTTAGCAGAAAAACAGTAATTTGAAGGAAATATTTCACAATGCCCAATGTTTCAGGTAACTTTGTAATATAACAACAAACTATGATTATTATTTTGCATAAACTTTAGGTTAGATTTAAGAAAGAAATTGTCACGAAAGTTTAATGTATATTCTAAAATGTTTGTTATAAATAAGTATATTTCTTATTAAATCACTAGTTAATTACTCTTATTTTTACATTTCGTGATTAAAAAATATTGTTAATCTAACACAACCGGCTTGACTGCTAGTACTCTGTTGTAGTATAAACAAAGAAACGAATTTCATCTGTTTTCATCTGAATTAAAATAACATGTAGTATTGCAAGCAATTGTTAGTTATAGTCCTTTATTTAGCATAAACATACAAAAAATTTGTTTCTTATTAGGCATATAAAGATATAGCATTTCAAATATATATTTGGATTGTTCTAACATAAAATTCGAATTATTGTGAGTCCAACCTACAAATCTAAGAAATGCAAAAACTTTTTACATATTTTTAAATTCATAAAAATATATTTTAAATTTTTAATTAATAGGCACATCTCAAAATGTATTGTGGATGCATTAGGATAATGATAAAATAATCTAACATGTATTAATCTTATATAGTGAAAGTAAAGTGGGGTAAGGAGACATTCCCCGGTGTGGAGGTAAACACAGATGATGAGCCTGTGCTGTTCAAGGCTCAGATATTTGCCCTGACCGGAGTGCAGCCGGACAGACAGAAAGTGGTCTGCAAGGGTGTAACACTGAGAGATGATGCTTGGGGGAACTTCAAATTGACTAATGTAAGTTATTTCTACTGTTCATAATCTTCTACTTTGTTAGTCATAGTTTTTTAACAATAAATTACACACAAAACGGTCAATGTCTATGCTACAGTATGAAATTATTCCAGAATGCTATAGTGCTTGTGATGGGTAGCAAAGAAGAGGATGTTCCAGCAGCCCCTGTTGAACAAACTCGCTTTGTGGAAGACATGAATGAGGCTGAGCTGGCTACAGCTGTAAGTTATAACTTATCTACATATACAGTTGAACTTGGATAAGTAAGAAACCTCTATAAGCGAGAAACTTAGGAAAAAGAGAAGAAAAACTACTGCAGTTCTTTGGATTCTTGCTTATCCCGGGGTCAACTGTATTTAAAATTTGTATAAAATCATTCAGTGGTATATGGTTAGTCAAGCTAAACCTTTATTGTTTAACTGTTTGATTTACAGCTTGATCTTCCCGAAGGTTTGATGAATTTGGGCAACACATGCTACATGAATGCAACAGTTCAGTGTCTCAAGACTGTCCCAGAGTTGAAGAATGCACTTCTTAATTATGATAAAAGTAAGTTGCAGTTTAAATTTATTTCATTATTGTCACATGTTTGTCCAAATTATACCATGATATGTAATCATGCATTTTTAACTAGGTCCATGTTCATCCGCTTTTTGTATGACATATATTTATATTACAAAGCAAGCTATCGGCTACCTCATTCACAGAAATAGTGATGCAATAGCTGCCCATAGACATTCACAATTGCAGATGTGGTGCCTACCTTTAATCAAAGAGGAGGGGACACAGAGCAAGAGAATATTTGCCTTTCTTATGCGGGACGCATTCTCTTCCATTAAATCCATATTCTCATCCTTTATTGTCAACAAATAACGGGAAGGGAAGAAGACTAAAATTAGGCCTCCGCTTAGTCTTCAAGTAAAAATACTTTTTTCAGCAATATTCCATAATTTTCTATACTATAAAAACATTTCAGCATCAGGAGGCGGTACAGCGGGTGAGTTGACTTCCGCACTGAGTGACACGATGCGTACACTGGAGGGAGGGCAGTCAGGTGCATGTGCAGTGGCCACTGCCAAGCTGCTGCACGCGCTGCACGAGGCTGCTCCAAGGTTTGCGGAGCGCGGCGCCGGCGGGGGCTTCGCGCAGCAGGACGCCTCCGAATGCTGGAGCGAGATTGTGCGCGCATTGCAAAGCAGGCTCCCAGTCGCTGCTCCAGTGCCAGGGGACAGGTATAACATTGTATTTCATTATCACAATGTACACCTCCCTGTCTCTCTACCCTATACTTGTCTGTACCCTAATCTAGTTTCCATTGAATGTATGAATTATGAAAACTGAAGGACATTAAATAAATAGTGATCAACAAGCTATTTCAATTTATGTGCTATATATAACTTACTATGGGTGATTACCCTAACTTAGGTTAGGCTCCGAGCCCCTCAGTGGGGGGATTAAATGGATACTATCTTGACGCGTGATATAATATAAACATAAATATTTAGGAATTTACGAGATTATAGTGTTAAATGTGCAGTTTGTCTATATTTAATAATTTGGGCTTTATATTGTGTGTTTATCAATTACTTGATCCTGAGTTTTGTTGTCAGGGCATCTATAGTGGAGCAGTACTTCGGGGGCCAGCTGGATGTGGAGCTGGTGTGCGCGGAAGCGGAGGAGCCGCCCTCGCGTAGCACCGAGTCCTTCCTGCAGCTTTCTTGCTTCATCTCCCAGGATGTCAAGTATCTGCAGTCCGGTCTAAGATCTGTAAGTCTAAAGATTAATGACCGAAACCAATATTTGATTTTTAAATTTATTTGTAACCTATGTAAAATGGAACCTGGACAAGCTAGAGACCTATATAATAAACGAGATTCAATGTCAGGTCATGAAGGACTACCTCCGTAATCAAGAAAACCATCAAGGTCTTTTGGTCTCTCGATTATCTGGTTCGACTGTATATCTATATCGTAATTACATTATATTAAAAAGTGTCTAGAAATTTAATAAATAATTGTTTCATAATTTTTGCAGAAAATGTCTGAACAAATCACAAAAATGTCACAAACATTGGGCAGGGATGCTATTTATACAAAAACGGTGAGTCATTTTTTAATTATTCAAAATAAACAAATTTACTCTATGCATTATTTAGGACTCTTATTACATTTAATATTCATTCTAGTCTAGATTACTTATTTTCCAATATAAAATACTATCGTCCATAGTCTATTTGTTCTTCCAGACTGTTCTACATATGTACTAAATGTTATCGAGATTTGTTGAACCGTTCTGGAGATACTTTCTAACATCCATCCATCACAAATTTCGCATTTATAATATTAGTAAAATTGTTTTCATAATGTTTCAGAGTAAAATAAGCCGCCTGCCCGCATATTTGACAGTTCAGTTTGTGCGATTCTATTACAAGGAGAAGGAGTCTATCAACGCTAAGATACTCAAAGACGTGAAGTTCCCACTTGAGCTGGATGTATTTGAACTCTGTTCCCCCGAGCTGCAGGAGAGGCTCGCGCCAATGAGAGCCAAGTTCAAGGTTAGTGTGAGCTTACACTGCAGAGATAGCTTTGCAAAATTACGTTTCAATAAAAAAAAATATCATTTTCAGGAATTAGATGATGCCAAAGTAGAGTCCACACTAAGTGGAAAGAATAAAAGCCACGGTGACTCTAGGAAAGATACGAAAAGGAAAGCTGTTCTTCCATATTGGTTTGAAAATGGTAAGAACAATTTTTTTATAAACCTTTAGGATATTTCACAAAAGAGGGGGTAACTTTTTTTTTTAATTTACGTTCTTTGATTTTGAAAATGACCCGGGAACTAAAGCAATTAGTTGATAGTTTTAATTACTTCTATGTATGTTGTGTGTGATGTAGACGTGGGCAGCAACAACAGCGGGTTCTACCGTCTGCAGGCAGTGCTGACGCACCGCGGACGCTCCTCATCATCAGGACACTACGTGGCGTGGGTGGCGCGCGCCGGCGGCTGGCTGCGCTGTGATGATGACACCGTCACACCTGTCACCGAGGAGGAGGTGCTCAAGCTCAGCGGAGGAGGTAACAATATACATTTGTTTTTAAAATATTAGCATATTTTTTATTTGTATGCTAATAGTTCTTGTAACTCTTGATAATCTCGAAGCTTGTAGATTTAACCCACTACGAATATATAGGAAACTTAACAATATTTGGCAATCTCCTGCAGTTTTGATACTATTTTTTTAGATTTATGTCACTAAAATTTGCATTTCTATCCCAACCGTTGTCAAACGCTATTTGTGAAGAAATATCTTTATTTAAAATTCAAATTAAATAATGCTTTGTATAACTATCTAGGTGACTGGCACTGCGCTTACCTGCTGCTGTACGGGCCCAGGATCCTCGAGATCCCAGAGGAGGAGGAGCCCATGGTGACGGAGGCTAACGAGGACCCCGCGGGGGAGCCCCCCACCGCGCTCGCTTAGACCCCCCGTCATAAGACAGACCCCCGCACACACATTGCAACCGCGCGGTAGCGGCTCTAGAAATGATGGCTATTCAACGATCGCTTCCGTAGATATCTATCGCCTAATAAATATCTTGTACTCATAGAAAACTCATTCTTCAATGAAAATAAGCGTTAATATTACAGACTAAATAATATAATTAAGTTTATTACATAAATGTATTCAAACTTTTTACGAATTTTAATTTTACTGGCATGTCATTTCTAGACCTTTCTCTGGTTCCGTTTTTTTATTGATTCGCTGATATTTTAATGTACTCTTGCATCTCTATGAAGATAATAAGTGTATTTATTTCGATATAAAATCTCGTTACATAAAAATATGTGATTTGAAAGAATAATTTCTGTTCCTTTTTACGTACAATGTGTTATAAATAGCATTTAAGAGCTTTGGAAAACGGAACTTGATTTTTTTATATGATTTTCAAAAAAGCATTTAAAATGCTGTGTGTTTAAATTCCAATGTCAAAAAACTTGTAATAAAAGATTGTGTGTTTTTATGCCATTCTATAAAGGAAACATAGATGCGACTCATTTGAGCATGTCTGATATTCTCTTTCTATACAATTCTATTGAATTTGATAAGACTAATTATACTAAAATGATAGATAAATAAATATTAAATGATAAAAATGATTTTTATTTATTTTACCCCTTATTCAATAAAAGTGGAAATAAATTATTTTTATCGCCTTAAAAAGTCTTTTTTTTTCCTCAATTCCGTTATAAAAAAACATCTGTCATTAAAATGTCAATGTCAAAAGTACACGGATGTATAATTAAGATAAATATAAGTTTTAATTTAAAAATATTTCATAAGCTGAGCTTAAATGTGTGTATCAAAACTCAAAACTGTAGTTTACTTCGCCGGCGGATTTACATTGGGCCAGCTTTACTACTATTATTTCTTAAAAGATATACAACTTCCATATAACATTGGGAAGGTCTTAGCATTTATTATAAGTATCATTTTGGGTAAGAGATAATGTACAGCTAATTAAATTGGTAATTTTACAGTTGACCATTCATTGTGGTCAATAAATGATGAAGAAATCTGAAAAAATATGTAAATAATTATAGAAATATTTTTAATGCATTTATCTCAAAATGTTCATAAAAGTTTTAACCATAAACACTTGACATTGGCCATATCCGATGAGGGAGAGCCATAAACAAGAAACAGAACAGAACATAAAAGTTTTATTCGCTATCTGTAAATCTTCACTTAGTAAATCGTCAATAATTATATTTCCAGAAATAGCTTATCTCTCCGTTTTATTCTTGTTCGTAAATATTTCTAAATAAATTTCAATAGACCATTTGCAAAGGTTAAGTGCAACATATCAACTATACAGAGATCTAATTAGTATTATTTCTTGCTTATACAAGACTGTAAGAAGTAAACAACTGCCAACATTTGTATGTTATCGATAAATGTATCTTTCAATACAGTAAGCCATATTGCCTTTATCTCGAACCATTACGCCCAAACGAATTACTAATATCTATACGTACCTTAATGAGTTATTGAGTATGTTATTTTAGTTATATCTTTTGTCTTCTTGACCATAATAACGTAAAATCTTAGCAAGATAACGTCACAGCACAATACGGTCAAAATAAATAGGATACAGAGGGAAGACACAGCGCGCCAATGACTTAAAAGATATTTCATACGAACTATACCTTATCGTTATCTCATTGTGTACCCTCTAGGAATCGGCAATGCTTCGTCGATCCAAATGCGCTGCATATCTCTGCTGATGCTGCCCATGTACTGCGGGAAGGCAGGTCGCGGCGTGCTCAAAGCTGTCGTACTCACATACGTTATAGCAGGTAAACTTCATAACGTATTTTGGAGTAGTACAAGCAAATACATGTCTTTTCAAATATATGTATTGGCAGCTCAAGGTCATCAATACGCTGCGTAGTTCCTACCCACTCATCCAACTACTCCCCCGCCTTACCTAAAATTGTGTTCTGCGTGAAGTTAAGGTCCGCCAAGATATCTAAAAACATCTATAGCAGCTTTAAATATTGTACCGGTCTTAAGTTTTGTGTTACTTACATGCGACATGCCGGACAAGGATGTCTTTGCCTTCTACAAAGAAAAAAAAAAACAAATCAATAATAAATCTGTCAGGTCCTATTACGAACATGGGTTACAACGCCAAGGAGGTTGTCCGCGTGTTCGCTTGCAGCGCCCAACTCTCCTACAACCTGTCCGTGCTAAGATACAAGCTGATGGCGAGTCCGATAAAGAAAGCAATACTTACCTCTAGTTCGCAGATTAATGTATTCAAGGACACATTTAGGTACGATTTTTTGTACGTGTTGTCTAATAAATATCAAAGAGGAATTATCTTCATAGAATTATATTAAAAAAAGTCAACGGGGAATTGTTCTTCGTAATATAAAAACAATAAACGTTTAATTTATTTTTAAAATGGTCCTGATGGACATCATGAAGTCCACGGAAGGCTCCATGTACAATGGCAGGAAATAAAATTGAAATTAGCACCGAAACGAGTTAAATTTTAAAAAGGATCTACGAGAAAGAGTTTAGAAATATCTGCTGTAATACAGCTTAGCGGTTTTATTACAGGTCCATCGATGAAATAATAACACCAATAGAGAACGAAATAGAAGGAACAGAAGAATTGGTACAGATAATGCGACGTAATATTGTTGACGATGTTGTTGATAAAAAGTATCTTACAGGGAAAATCGAGGAAAATTATAGGCGAGTTATTTTTCATTTAATTTTTACGTACGAGTTGTTTTTTAATAATATCACTTTTACAAATACGTATTATGCATATTATTCGTTTTCTTTTATTGGAACAGTGCTGCCAACATTATGTAAATATAGAGATAGGTGATCAAAGTACAAGGCTTTTCCTCGTCCTAAGACTTGTGCAAATGTTGTTCATAGAGATGCGAGTGAAAGTTTTCTACTACAAGATAAATATCTCAATAAACTATCTTGCCGGTGTAAAGAGCTGATATCCCGCGGGATAAGTAAATGCGGGAAAATGTTTGTCACCGCTTTCGAGGATTGCTATTCCGCAGCGCGCGCGCATTTCGATCACAGCGTGTGTTGGCCTCTGAACACACAGTCCGCCTGTGATCTGAGACGATTTCTTAATGGAAGTCAGCTTTGCGATGCTATTGATCAGGTAACTTTGAATTTAAGATTTAAATACAACAAGGCATGAATAAAACTTGTATGCTATTTCTTTTTAAACAAAAATGGTATCCGAATTTTCAACCCTACCGTTAGTCAGATAGATTTAAAAGCATTACTTTAGTTAGATTAAGAGCTAAGTTTTTATTTCTTTCACAGATCTCAAATAATAATATTTTGAATTAAAAATCGATTGGTAATAAATTCAATCTCTATTGCCTAAGTAATACATATTTTACATAATAATAATTTTAATTTTATAGATCGATCCTGGTCTAGGCGAGGGTTATTTATATCTAAAGAAAGTTCAAAAAAGATTGACAGATAACCTAAAAGATGTAAGATTGCAATACAAAGTAACGTATGAAAGAGAACTCTATGATGTTCAGGTTTGTTCATTTATATTAACCAGACAACATAAAATTAGAAAGAATTAGTTACACTGATTTTAGTCCTTCGTCGCCATTAAATTATCGTATATTATGTCATATCAGCCAAGTGCAATATACCTCTAGATCATTGGTTCCCAAACTTATTTTGTCTATTGCCCACTTGGAGAATAAATATTCTTTTAGCGCCCCCATATTTTCACATATTTAAAAACCACTATAACTTCAAATTAAATAAATTAATTATTGTGACCTATATATGTATATTAACGGAGAATTCTAAACGAAACTTTTACTATAACCCGCAACTTGAGACCTGCAGCGCTCACAAGGGGGCGTTATCGCCCACTTTGGGTAAGACTGGTCTAGATGAATATTCTACAGTTCTCTGCAATGTTAACACATTACGTGCTATTCAGATTTTTCCACTTAAACATGCTTAGCGATTAGCACTGAACGTGTTAAGTGTTATTTACAGGACGCAAAAGAGACAGGTAAACGTGTGATGCACGAGTTTGAACAGCGCGGTGGCAGTATGCAGTGCGTGCTGAGCGTGGTTAACGTCTGCCTGGCTCTCATCCTGCTGCGGATAGTGCTGGCCGCGCAGGCGCACCACGACAGATACCTTACAAACATCACATACGATAATATCTACATCACCTCCTACTTCAAGAGAATCGATAAGAGACGGAAATTAAAGAATAAATGTTCATTGCTTCCGTTGAAGAAGGTGGCTGTATTTTTAACTTGTGTTCTCGCTTTAAGTGTCGATAAAGAAACATAAATTGTAGGAATAAAAAACAAAGATAATAAAAGTACGGGACTAAGCCCAGCTTATCTGAGGTCTTACCCGTCTATAGATCGAAATACGCAAGTAAAACATACACAGAACTTCGTTAATTCCGCACCGCCGTTATGATGAATCTTAACCAAAAGTTTCATGGACAATCAAAGTTTTATTCGCAGGTCAAAATCCTGTATTCATGTCTCATATCTTTTAGCAATTGAAGAATACCAATTCAATTTTAGATGGAACGTAACAAGTACGTAGATGTGCATTCATTGGAGTACAAGTCGTCGCAGCGCAGTCAGCTGGTGACACCAATCCATAAAGTGCTGTTGGAGGTGGTCACAGCGACTACCTTCGTCATGCTTGATAGACTCTTCTATGAGGCGCTCGATGTGGTGCGACAGCATGCGGATGTTGGCGTCGCGCAGCAGGGCACCAGGGATTTGGAAATCGAAGTAAAAATAGCTAAGAAAACTATGAATTCTGAGACATAGGTTCTTTCCCGTTTTATAAGATTAGTAACCTTGTATTTTCTCTTGATCTGCTTCTACTTTAATCCAAGAAGTTGTCAGAAATATCCTGAATTGCTTCTAAAAAGGATGATCTGGCCGTATCCGCTTTGGCGGGAGCACAAAGCCACCAGATAATAAACAATAGTTTTTTTCAAATGCTGAATAACAGAGGTTAGTTATTGTTTCACGTAAATCGCTTATTCTTGCAATCGATATGTTGAACTGTACAGGTGGAGGGCAAAGGTACAGTCGCGACAATGATGCGAAACATTCTTAGTCGATTGAACGAGACACGCCACGTGCATGTATCCAACGAGCTGTGTCTCCCCCATCCTCGCGCTATGCCCACCATATACTTCATCAAGATATACTGCGGATATCTCTGGATACTTCTACTGCTATATTTGAACCCTTACACGCTGCGTTTGAACAGGTTTTGACTTTAAAATAGTTTCACGATAACCTAAATTTTTATCAAGTTGAAACTTAATAAAGCTTTATGAAAATCTAATAGCAAGTGAATAGAAAAAAATATGATTTGATCACACTAGTGGATCCCAAGCTTTATTTACCGTGGGTTTCTGACACCAAAGTCTCTGTATAATATCGTCATCCTTGTCATCATCTTTGACAAGAACAGAGATGACAATACATTCTCAACGGGGATTGTGATGTGACCGTTTTTTATCTGAGAAATCAACTAAGAGAATGATCGGAATATTCAATAAATCTTAAGACATATGTTTAGGTTGATATGCAGTTACTTTTACCCTAAGAGGGAGAAGCAGCGCATACTTCACTTGTACAACGACATTCTCAAGAAACGTATGAAGATGCAAAAGACACTGCGGAGGAAAGCGCTTCAAGCGGTGCGCGCACAGTACCTCTCCGGAGAAAACTTACGCAGTTTGAGAATGAGGTACATTGGCTTAGCATTCTGGTTTTCCGTTTGATGAAAATTCCCATTTACTTTCCATAGCTTAATAGATGAGTTTATTATTATAGAAGTGTCTAATAGGTTCCCACAACTGCTCGGTTGGCTGTCAGTGTTCCCAGCTGCAAGAATGACTTGCCTAATATGTGGAGAAACTGAACCTAGATGTATTTGTAAGTATACATTTTTACAATAATTTTATTAATTAGTCCATAGCTTTCCATAACCTAAAACTTTTAGAAAAAAACATTGTCTATGGTTTTTTCAAAGAGAATGAGAGGGACGAATATATTTTAATACAAGTCTTTTATCACTAAATCTAATACTTTAGCATCATCGTGTACATGGCATCGTTGCATGTCAGCGTCGTGCGGGTTCTCGTGGTGCGACGAGTGCTGGCGCGCGGGCGGCGGCCGCTGCCTCGCCTGCGACCCGCTCACCCGGCTCAGCGACCTCGACTCACTTAGTGAAGATCAACTCGAATACTAATCTTGTACTATCGTTACTTACATTTTTATCATTTTATATGACAAATTAGAAAAGCTCACGGACTACTCAGTGTCATTACATTTTAAAAATAAAAAGAATTCAAAGAATTATTATTTATCTATTATATTTAAAACAATCCGTACTCCAGTTGTTCACCGACGGTTAGGTTGCTGACGAACTGTATGTTGTCAGCCACCTCATTGCACAACAGCGCCAGTCCCGACGGCTGCCCATCCTCCGGCGGGTTGAAGTTGTACACCAACTAACACCAATAAAAAGTGAATAAGAAGAATTACATAAGGTAAAGGTAAATGATGTTTTGAGGTTATGTCGTATGAAAATCAATTTAAATCAAAGGTTTTCACTGCCAAAACACTGATACAAAATTGTTATCCCTTTCATTTGCCTTGAAAACTATAAGAACAAAAATAAGAACACGGTTTTGTACAAATATTTCGATTGTAAAAACTCGCGTTGACATGTTGACTTACAGACAAAAATTCATCGTAAGTGATCCAGCCGTCATTATCTGAATCGGCACTGTTATATTTCTCTTTGCGGATTTCCATCGATGTCTCGTCGCCGAGACTCTCCAACACCGCACAACTGTAATTCATATTATTACCACGAGTCTGTATCTACATGTTTCTTGTAACCTTCTTTTATGCAGCCTATATTTTCAAATGAAATTCGCCCTTTACTCGCCTAAAACACCAGCGAATTACCTAAAATCATACATAGTTTATATTTAGCTGTTGTTTTTCTCTCGCATAGTTCCCTCTAAAAGTTTAAAGGTTAAGTAGAATTCCAGCGATAGACCTAAGTACGTAATGGGGATAACGTAATTTCGTTCTCTTAAAATACTAACAAATCGTCAAATCCGAGCATCCCATTGGACTGGTTGTCGAAGAGTAGGAACAAGCTGTGAAGGTTAGCGATGGTGATCTCGTTCCAGCCGGGGAATCGCTGCACTACTTTCTGCATGCTCCAACGACGGTCTTGTTCTTTCATTTCCTATGGACAATACTTAAAAACTAAGCTATCCTTACTTCAATCAAATATGATTACAACACAACACTAACATAGAGAATAAACGATTTCGCACGGAACTGGGACCATTATCTCGCCGCTTTAAACAATAAATAATATGTACTTGATTATATTGTCGTTGTTCAGTTAATCTCTTGTAGAATAGATCCACAAGCTTATCGTAATCTGTCATCGTCGTCTTGATCGGCTCGGACACTTTCTTTTGAGGTTCACCTTTTAAACACAAAATTAAAGATATTTTAGCTACTTATGTTCATCACATGGTTTCTTTTAGGACATAATATTTAGTATAGAACCTGTAGCCGTGAAGTCTTCCTGTCTGTAAAAACATATTGGTTTTCGCTTCACTGGATACTCAAAAAACCTGCCCAAGCCAGTAAATATTGTACTTAATTGGTGACCCATCTTTTTGCAATACTCGTCCTTCGCGATTTATATTTGTCATTATTTTTGACATATTGTCTATAGTTTTATGTAGGGACAAAAGAAATTCAATGAAATTTTTAAAAGAGCAATCTCATAATTTTATTTTTAATTATTTTTGATCTAAACCACACAAAACATAGTCTGCATTAAAACTACAAGAGTACATTTTAAGAATACATTCTGAATCATTTCTTTATCTAAGAATATCATTGGCGACAGACAAACCAAGTTGTTTAGAAATATGTTGGTTATTTAGATGTTGTTTAAAGTTGTTTTTAGTGGTTGAAATATAGGTACATATTTTTCAAGAATACGGTAGCATAAATTATGTAGAACAATACAGTTAATTATGACTTTATTATCTAAATTACAAAATACATGTTTATTTGCTTGCTCATAGTTATGCACTAAGGATAAAGAGGAAGCCGAGGTGAATACATGGGATATATAAATAAAAGCCCATTTTCTATCAATCAGTTGATTAATTTTCATACAAAATTCCATTAAAAATTTCAAAAATTCCATGACATATATAGCGTCATGCGCAATTGATAAGATTATAAGGGGACAAAGAAATGACTTTACACATAGGGTAAATAATAAGGTAAAATGAAATAATATGGTAGGCAGTAAATTATTCTAAATTAAAATATAGGAACATTTATAAAATTTCAGTCTTCATTCAACAATATTACAGAAATGTAACATAAGATATAGATTAAAAAAAAAAGAAAAGACTGTTGTCAACTCGCGCTAAACGGAGGCATTTTATTATTTTTTTAAGATATTTTTTTTGCGCCTCGTTTAGAAGGAATAAACAAATACGAAGTGCATTATGAAATAATTCAGCTTATTCTAGTAGACAACAGACTTCTACGGCGGAGATCTAACCCCCGCGAAATTAAACCCAATCAGTCTTTAATACATTTTGAGGTAGACGCGGTTATATTAAGTTTGAACACGACTATGCACCGCCCCCGGCGTCCCCCGGAGGCCGTGTACCAAATACTACTTATATCAGATATACTGCTTCATTCGTCCCCCCTTTGGTGGGACACAAGGGCCGTTCAAACTATTTCAGTGTTTACTACACAAAATAATACATTTATAATAATCAGTTCGTTAAGCAATTTCTTTTTTTTTATAATGCAAATACAACAAGTTTTATGTAGCAAAGGGGAGATCAATGAGTAATTTTTAATTACACTAACACTAACACAACACAAGCGCCTATTTAACGTTAAACATAGCACGAAAATGGCTCAATACATTTCGCTAAAAATCTCATACAATTATAGCAAATATTATGCAGTAATTCCATGCGCCCGCCGCGCCGCGCCGCACCGCGCCGCGCCTCCACTCTCTCGAATCACACAGCGCCGGACTTGTGGATGTTTTAACTCGCTGCTCGTGGATATCATCGAAGGTTAAAAAAGTCGTACAAAATCTATCATCACGCATCGATTAAGTTCTCCAATTTTATTGTTTCTATCACAAAACCCATTTTACTGCTAGCAGCTAGCAGCTCTCACACGTTCACCCTCTGTTGCGATCAAATCCACTTCGTTATTACATCGTATCTATGCTCTGCAACCCCCTCTCCCACCCCCTATCCCACACTTTTATAAAGTGCTTGCTACGCGATCACGGCTACCCGCTACTGACAGATGACTTACACATTAAATGGACTTGGAAACTAATCTTGACCACACGAGTGATCGAGTTGGGAAAATGGAGCCTCTTGTAGCAAAACTTATTACATAGCCAAGAAAACGTTCAGACGTAAACAAATTAAAAACTAATAAATACACAATAAATCGTTCCGAATTAAATGCGTTACAAAATTAAGTATTTCTTTAGCAGCTTTCAGCCGAGTCACTCTTATAAAGTAAATCACCGCTCGAGAATTACAGGACTATTGCGATTTGCGGAATTTAAAAAATACTGCACTTTAGTGATTGTTAATTTATGTATGATATATGGCGTTAACGTTTGAAATCCTGAGCGGCAGGATATTACAATGCGAGACTGGTAACATTCTAAGAGTGCACTAGTCGATAATCACTTTACATTGCGCCGGAGTTTGCTTTGCAAATCCATTTGTCTGTATGTCAAAACAAAAGATGAACTTACGGATTTCATTGGAACATGAGATTCGTCGTCACCTTTACAAAAAAAATATCTGTCGCGTGGACATTTTAATTTTTTTTTTTGAAATAATATAATAATTAAAAAAAATGCATTTCATGCAAACACATCATTATAAAAAATAATAACATAATACTTTAATAATGGCACTGAACGAAAAGTAAGTTACGATAAATCTATTAAAATCACTGATATATCAGATGAAAGAGTTACGATTGTCGAGGATGAAGCCAATTGACCGCTGAGGCGCAAACACTGCACGCTGTCACTGTGATCCACTTTCAAGACTACCCTCGCGTTGCAGTAGAGATCAAAGTTTCTTCAACTACCCTCATTATTGGCGTATCTCGTACCAACAAATCCAGTAGTAGTAGAACAAATTATCAAAACGCAACGGCATCCTTGATAGAGGACCAAGGTAATATGTAACATTATAATACTATCCAATCCTATTTTATCTACACTTCAAACAAGAATTTTCCATTATCTAACATAAATTTCAGGCTCATTAAGAGAATTTTAATTTTTGTATTTAATCGAAAATTATCTGCGACTGGTAATTTTTGTTTGAAGCTTTTAACACTAATTAATATAGCTTAAATTATCTTATTCGCGACTAACTTAGCCTAAACCTACGTCTAAGTACAAAGGTGAAAAATTTTATTCTAATTTTTTTTTTATTTAATTACGTTACGACCAATTAATTTCAGCGAGCCAATTACTGTTGTATTAATTGTGCGTAGATTATCAAGTATTTTCTTGACTAATATTTATTGAGTTTATCTATTTATTATTATTCTTAATAACAAGCTGAAGGGCCAGAGATATTATTTTACAAAGCGACCAGAGAATTTGTTGAAGTATTTTTGCATTAACAACTAGCTAAGATTCTAACACCAAAGTACTTATAATATAAAATTTAACTAGAAGCTCACGCATAACTCGATTACCTAATAGTTTAGTAGAAAAGAGCCAAGTGAAACCAAATAAATTATCAATTCTTGCAAACTTATATTAATCGGTCGTTTAGTTTTAAAACACGTGCAAGTAACTTTGTGTTATATAAGAAAATTAAATCGTAATAAAAATTAATTATTACCGAGTGAGCTATGCGTCCACTCAAGGCGACATCAAACGCGATACTAACTTATATATAAACAGTAATATAGTGAACACATACTGACTGAACACAGTGTTTATATCGCATTATATCGATATATTTAAACATACATTACAAGAACATTCAATCAATTTCGCTATAATATTTGAACTAATACGTGAATTTTGACTGTAACAACTAATTAAAAAATTATTATGTAGATGAATATCTATATATAATTTACCTATAACAACAATTGTGTTACTGCGCCTTAAACCATCCTAAAAGTGAAATACCATTGCTCTACTCCGATATTCGAATCTAACTAACGCTACACGGATAACATCAAT